CTGCTTCTTTCCTCCCATCTCCCCCCTCTCTCCCTCCCCCCTCCTCCCCCCTCCTCCCCGCCTCTCCACACAGTAACAGACCTAGGAGGCCCGAAGCCTCTCACAGTCCGCCTGTCTGGTGCAGTCCTTGGTGGGTTGATCAGTATGTCAGATGATATGAGATCCAGCGTGCCCTTGGTTTAAGCAGCGTGGTCTTTTCCCACGTTTTTCAGTCAGCGTTCTTTGTTTGGAACTCTCGATATTGGTGGTGTTGGGGAGGTAGGCCTGGCTCTGCTCCACAGCTCTGCGTCCTGTGAGTGGATGGTGCAGGTTGGACAGTGTCATAGGGAAGGCCCCGGAGAGGCCTGTGGCAGGGCCACTCCGGCAGAGACTGTGGTGGCCGCCCAGCTCAGGTTTCGCCAGTCCAGGATCGGCTGCAAGGCCCAGGCACTATTTTGAGAAACAGTTCCTGAGGAGGTTATCCGGTGTCATATTTTCAAAGGAGAATTAAAGGCACCCGCGCTTAGCTCTTAGCCCAGAGTGTTCATATCGAAATAGGCTAACGCACGGCCTGGTTCTGCAAGTGTTTTCTCGTCTTCATTCCTCCCTGCTATTTCTGGTGAAGGTGTCTTTGATTATAGAATAATGTCAACCTAAATAAAGTGCCATTGTAATTTGTTTTTGGTGGTGAAAGTTCTATTAGCAGAGGCAGAAATAACATTGCGAGATGGTTACATTTGAAGTAGTAAATACAGGGGTTAGCTGTTTTTACAGCAAATATACACGAGTTTGTTTGCCGGAGCTTCTCGAATGTAATGAAGTAGAAATCAGACATTCTCCAGGAGACACCAGGTGAGGGGGCATCATGTGGATGGTCCTTTCTCTGAACCATGATTTCCTGAGTCTGTGGCCTCGAGTGAAGGGAGTCGGGTTCATTTTCCTGAGAAATTCTCTGAGCTGTTCTGTTCCCATCAGTTACTGGCTGTATTGAAAGCTGGCTCGTCAGATTTCACTGCTTCTCGGTTATTTACAAAAGTGAATAGAAATAGAGTGGGCTTATCAGCAGGCACAGGTGCATTTCAGAGTGTGTGGCGTCCTATCTAACTTCTTGCTCTGCAATTCTTATCTTAGGATTCCCACTCAGTTTTGTTCTTTTTTTTCACACTCTGCTAGAAGGAACTTAATATGGTCCTTCTCCTTTTTTCCCACTGAAGGGAAAAAACATAGTGTGCCGCTTGTTGAAAGAAAATCACTCTCCCTGCTATTTCCTTGTCCTCCTAGGTCCGCCGTCCCTGTTCTGCCTGTGACTGGAGGCTTCTTGGTTTTCCTTGCCCCTTGCCAATTCCGTTAGTGAGTCAGGAGGAAGACTAGGTCTTTTGAGCTAAAATCAATGCCAAATTGGGCACGTCGTCTTGGATGCTAAGGTTAAACCAAGGGGTTTTCTGTTGCTACGAATAATCAGATGTTTGTTTCGCTTCCAAAATGTGATTAAACTGTAAAGAATTTCGTTTTAAATAACGTTTCCTTCTGGTGTGTCCAAGAACTTAATTGCCGTTTGTGTTTCTCTTCTCTTCTCCCTCTGTGTAATCGCATGTTGGTCGTTGCCACAGTGATGCGATGTGTAATCCCTCCCGGTCTTTCCCGTAATCGTCTATTATTTAAAGCCCTACTCAGTGGCCTCACACACAGCTTCCCTGGTAGTTTCATGGGATGTGGCTACTAAGGGCCAAACAGCCCAGGAAGGACTATAATACACATTTAGGAGAAAGTCGTACAAGTTGCTGGTGGTTCTTTACTTCAGGAAATGAGAATAGCTGTGGTGCCATATCCCGGCTTAGGGACAAGCTGGGATAGGCTTCTGCTTGGCCCAGCTTTCCAGGTCTCAGTGTGGTTCCTTCCCCGTCCTTCCAGAACCACAGCCAGGTGGGTCCTGAGAAATTATAAGTTCTGCCCCGCCATGGTCTTCCAGAGAAGGGGGAAGAGAGAAGCTAGATCTTGTGTGATGGCTCTTTACTTCCCTTTTTTACTGTTCTCTTTTCTTCTTCTCTTTTCTTGGGCTGTTTCCATCTTTGACCAAGAAAGGGAAGATGATGTGCCGCCGCTTTATGGAATGCGTTGGACTCAATGGATTATAGTTACTTTTCTGCCAGTTCTCTCACCCTGAACTATGTCTCAGGCAGGTCCCATAGCCTTTAGTTCTGTGTCATCCGCCAGAATGGTCTCATTTCTCAGATGTTAAGCAGTTCAATTTCATTACCAGCTGAAGCTTCCCCCTTCTCACCCGGCCTCCCCACTGGAGCCTAACCATGCACCTGCTGGGGAGGCTGCTGTTCCATCCACTCTCCGCAGGGCCCCTTGGTGCTGCCTCTGTGGCCTGGGTGGGGATGCAGATGGTAAAGGAAGGAGCCAACACTGTCCTTTGTAGGTGCTCTCTGTCGTCCCCTCGCTGCTGGTCAGCATGACCTCGGGCACAGTAGGCATCCAATGCTGTGTCCTCCTATGGGGTTTGTTTGTGGGTGTCTGGGAGCTTCCACCCTTCAGCTCCTGCACCGTGGGTGCCCACAGCCTCTTCCAGCTCGGGCTGGCCCCGGCCTGGCCCAGCAGGCAGTTTTCTTGTTTAGGTTCCTTTGAAAACCTCTCAGGTAGGCTGAGCCCTGCAGCATCCACCTGCCTCAAAAACTTGGCATTCTCGGGTTCCAACCAGTGGGCCTGCAGGTGGCCCACTGCTGACCCTCTCTGCCACCCTGCTGCCGTGGACAGCTCCAGCCAACCACCCTCCAAACTTGTTAGGCAGGAACTAGGCGTTGGTTTCAGTTCCTGAATTTCCCCCAGCCCCCAGGACCCGTGTCACGGTGCTCCTGGGTAGCCCCAGGCCTGCCAGTCTGCAGCTCCATGACTGGTGGCCCCCACCCAGCCTGGCCCTCTGTGTGTGGTTCTCCCAGAGCCCCCTGCCTGGCTTCGGGGAGGAGGTGAGGCACCAGCTGAGGGAGGGGCAAGATGATTCTCCTGCTAGCTTGACATGCTGGCCGTGGATGCCCTTCGTTTTCTTGTTGGCCTCTCGTCTTCTCTTTCATATGCTAGGGAGGAGATGGGCATCAGGCAGGACTTCCTTTATGCGAGGACCTGCAGGGGGATTTCTAGCATTTGGAACGTGGAATCCTTATCTTGGCTTTGAGGCTTCATGAATGTGTGAGAACAGAATGGTCCCATTCCACTTTCTGTCACGATAGTTACTAGCTGAAGGCTGAAGGCTTAGATGCCAGGTGCTGTGGCATGGGCTTTAGAAGAATGAAATCACTTAATCTTTACATGAGCCCAAGGTTTGGGTACTGTCTCCATTATATAGAGGGTGAATGGAGGCAACAGGAGGTTGAATGCGTTGTGTAAGGTCACTCGCTGTTAGCCGTGGTGCCGCGATATGAACCAGTGTGTGTTACCCTGTCTCCCCCCACTCCTCCAAGTTACCCTTTTGACTCCCACTCCCACCAGGTCCACTTCCACAGTCAAGTCAGGTCACTTTCCTTCCTCACTCCACTCCTTCATTCATCCACTCATTGAGATATTCACACACGGAGATGGGATGGCGGGGAGAGCCCTCCCTGTGTGCAGAGAACAAGGTTCAGGGAATGGCAGCATGGGTGATGTTGGGGCATGGTGGAAACAGCGTCGGGGTAAAGCATCTCAGGCAGAGAAGTTTGGGATTAACCCAGTGGGCAGTGGGGACCACTGAGGTGTTTGCATCAGGGGACGGTTGGGTGGAGATGTCCTTGAGGAAGATTCATCTCAGCCCCTGCAGATGGGACTCAGGAGGGGGTGGGGCAGGTGAAGGAGGAGATTCCTTGAGAGTCTACCGTAATAGTCCAGGGGAGGGGACAACAGCCTGAGTAAGGATGGAGCAGGGGCGAGGGACAGGAGGAGACAGGGTGGAGTCTGGCAGAGTTGGAACCAGTTTGTCACAGCTGTTAGACTAGTGGGAGGAGGAGGAGGAGGAGGAGGAGGAGGAAGGGGAGGAGGGGGGGAAGAGGAGGAGGAGGAGGGGAGAAGACAGTGAGGTGGAAGCCTTGGCAAACAGTGAAGCCATTGCCCGAAACGGAGAGGCAGCAGAGGCAGTGGTGTGTAGACGAGCTCTTCCTTGGGCTTGTTGTGACCTCAAAACCAGCAGACTTACAGAGGTTGTGGGAGCGAGTTGGTAGCAGGTGTGGGTGAGGCCCCCATGCGTGAGGAAGCTCAGAGGAAGCTGGTGTCTTACTGGGGGCAGCTGGGGGACAGCACACTCCTTGCCACCTGGAGCCTGGAGCTGTGCCGGACTGGCCGGGCCTCCTCAGTGGGAGAGGGAGGTCGACCAGAACTCTCGGGGCTGCTAGCCAGGGAAGCAGGTAACTCTGGTGACACTGTGGTTCACACAGGGCAAACTGTGGGGGCTGAAGGGGAAGGGTGTTGTCCTGGCAGCCAGGTCCCCTCATTCCCAAGCCCCCTGTGCCCTCACTGGAACCCTCGAGTGGCTTGGGCGAGAGCTGAGAGCACGTCAGGCTCGTGGGCATGTCTGTCTGCACGCCTTATCTGTTTGGCAGCATAGTTTGAAATCCTGTGACAGTGGTATTTGGTAGAAACTGAATATGGCCTTCAAGCCTGAAAAACCACACTACCGCATAGAGACTGGCTGCAAGAAAACAATGAGCTTCTGGTCCCATAGGTTTTTGGGGGGAAGAAAAGAAAAATAAAAACTCTTCAGGAAAAGGAGGTGGTATATCATTGCCTGGGAGATGGCAAGGATTGCTTCTATTGATTCAACAAATGGTTAGTTGCACAAGGCTGGTTAGCTGAGTTAAAGGTCTGACTTGTCTTTCGAAGGGTAAGCAGACCTTCTCGGGGGGGACAGTGCGTTGCCCACACGGGCCCACTCTGAGAAGGTCGGGGACGCCGTTAGTAACAAAGAAGCAGCCTGCTGCTGGCATCCTCCTTGAAGACGATGCTCTGCTCTTCCTCCCTGATAACTCTTCCTTTTAACTTTGCATTTTTTCAGATTTAGAAGGTTTGTGACTTTGCACAAGTGAAACACGGCAACTTATGATTTCATTCGCTGGACATGCCCGCTGCGGGGAACCTTCTGGCGAGTGCAGTCGTGGCTTGCTCAGGAGGAAGCCCTGCATCGGGTGGCGCCTTTATTTATAAGTCACTGGGCTGGTCGGATCAGAGGCCGCTGCTTGTCCTCACGGCACTGCTTGGCCTCTCAGCTCCCAGTCCAGAGAAGATCCGGGAACGGGTTCTTTCCTTGAGCTCCTGGAACTACACTGGACAAGCATAGAGAGCCCCCGCTCTCCTTGTAGAGGGGCAAAGCGAGCTGCTCCAGGCGAGGACGGGGGCAGGGGACAGCCTGAGATGTGTGCAAACATTGCCAGGGGGTTTGGGAATCAGTAAGTTTTCTCCTCTGATCGGTTTCATTTCATTTGATGAGAATCTTCAAGCCTCAGTAAACTAGCACTGCCTGTTTTTTGGAAAGAGAGATTCTTTTTCTGCAGCTTTCAATAATAGCGTACTGTTTTTACCTGATACTCGGAGCCTGAGCTGCTCTGCTCAGCTTCATCGTGGAGTACTTGCCTGTAGTTAAATGACCCACACCTGCGGCTCTTGCCTCACTTACTGGGAGCCGGGTGATAGCTGTGGGATTCAGCTCTCAGACGTTCCTCTCTGAATCTTTACCTGATGTGCGCTGAGATAGCCGCGTTCCCAGATGGCAGGCCGACTTCGAGTTTGGGGAGTGTTATGGATCTCTTTCATTAGTATGTTTTTGAGAATCCTATCAAGAAAGCTAATCTTTTTACGTTGAATTACTGAAAGCTTCCCCAACCCCAGGTCAAAACTGTGACATTCTGTTGAGAGTAGGATTTCTTAGTTGGTTTTGAATTCATTTGCTGCGTAACTGAGCTCTCACTGGGCGTCTTGAGGAGCTGGCTTCTACTCTGCCCTCGTGGAAATGAAGGCTGTTTTTTTTTTTTAAGTCCCAAAGAGTAAACCTGCTAATAATAGTAATAATAATGGTAACAGTTACCAGTCATTGAGCGCTGCTTACATACCGGTGCCTGCAGGAAACTTCACGAGTCATCTCGTTCAATCCTCAACTCCCTCAGATAAGTGCTGAAATCTCTATTCAGCTCTTGGGGAAACTGAGGCTTACGGGTTATGGTAACTTGCCCACATAAAGTCACCTGCTGGAGGATGCACAGCTTGGCAGTGTCTTCACTAGATATGAACTTACATCTTTCTGACTCCAGAGTGTGTCCCCAGGGCTGGTGGATGCTTTGCAGCTTTAAAAGGTGTTCTGGGCAGAATTCCAAAAGACGGTGCCTCTGTATTGCCTTGAAATGTGTTTTTATGGGGAAAGCCATTCCCCTTGGCTTCCTGGAATAGCGCGGTAGTACTGCCTTCATGCCACGGCTCTCCCTCGGGCTGCAGCTTAGAGATGTCCTCTTCATTGAGAATTCCATAGATAGGTTTTTTTTTAGCTCTTACTTATCTGGATCTTCTGTTGAGTGTTTCCTTTGTTTTAAGTTTTATTTTGAAAGGCAAAGATAGTAGGGAAAGCATCAGGGGGACTTTCCTCATTTCTCCTGTATTGGAAGGAATTCTTGTCTTAGAAGGAGCATTGCCCTGATCTTGGAGGTTCTGAACTCTGAGAGAAGGTATCACAGGGATTCTAACCTGGGGTCCCTGATCACACCTGTGGTTTGCAGAAATGGTGTGCATGTGAAGGGGCTCTGGTGCATCTTCCTGGAGAAGGATCCACAGTCCTCGTCAGACCCTCAAAGGAGTCCCTGGCCCTAAGGTCAGGGAGGACTGCCCCGGGGCCTGGCCCAGCTCAGCCACCTCCCTGACATCAGCCCTGGGCAATCCTTCTGTCTCCCTGTGACTCTCCCTCTCCCTCTGCCTCACCCTCTTCCGTGAGGGTGTTGAACACAGCCCTGTGATGTGTGTGAGCTGTGAGGAAGCTTGAGCACTGGATGAAGTTCATGGGGGCTCTGTCTCTGCTTGGAGACAAGGCTTGCCAGACCCTGCATCGCAGCAGAGGGCTCCTCCCTACAGCTGTGCGCCAGGAACCGTCACCACAGGGGCTTCCTGACCTGCTCCTTCCCATCACAGCTGCTGTCTCAGGGCACCAACATTTTAGCGCACAGCGCAGAGCATGGACGTTTCAGCGTCGGCCTGCCGGATACCCTGGGGTTCTTTGTTTTCAAAAAATAATTAAGGAGAGGGGCCCGGCCTGGTGGCGCAGCAGTTAAGTGCACACGCTCCGCTGCGGCGGCCCGGGGTTCGCAGGTTCGGATCCCGGGTGTGCACTGATGCACTGCTTGTCAAGCCATGCTGTGGCGGCGTCCCATATAAAGTAGAGGAAGGTGGGCACAGATGTTAGCCCAGGGCCAATCTTCCTCAGCAAAAAGGAGGAAGATTGGCACCAGATGTTAGCTCAGGGCTGATCTTCCTCACAAAAAAATAAAAAATAAAAATAAAAAAAATGAGGGGGCAGTGGTGTATAATGGCTTGGGTAGCATCATAGACTCAGAAAGACCTTAGCTGGTATTCTGGTCTTTCCAGCTGTGTGATCATGAGAGAGTTACTTAACCTGTTGGAGCTTCAGTCATCCCACCTGTACAATGGGGAGAGTAGATCTGCTTATGATATTGTTGTGAGGATTGAAGATATGCAAAGTGCTTGGCACGGTGGCTGGCTCATAAGTGTTCAGAAATTGCAAGCTAAAAACCTGATTAACGTTGGACTTAGAGATGTGGGAGCCAGTTACTGGGTGGTGGGTAGGGCTCATTAGCCTCTTTGGCAACCAGTCCTGTCTGCTGTCTTCTGGGTGTTTGGCCTGGGTGTCACTCACTTTCTCTAGTTGATGACAAAATCAGGCAGTGACGTGGCAGCTGAATCCCAGCAGGGACGAACTCACGCACTCAGACAGCAAATAGTTGCCGAGTTACTTCCCTGGTGATGAACAAGCAAGTCTTGGTCCCTGTTCTCTTGGAATTTAAATCTAGAATCTCAGCTGGTCATAAATAGCCAAACAAAAACCTGTGAGTGCAGGAACCAGCCCCACGGCCTAGTGGTTAAGTTCAGTGCACTCAGCTTTGGTGGCCCAGGTTCGGTTCCCAGGCACGGACCTACACCACTCATCGGTGGCCATGCTGTGGTGGTGACCCACGTACAAAATAGAGGAAGACTGGCACAGGTGTTAGCTCAGGGTGAATCTTCCTCAAGCAAAAGAATAGGAAGATTGGCAACAGATGTCAGCTCAGGGCCCATCTTCCTCAAGAACAACAGCAAAAAAAATAAAAAATCTGTGAATGCAAATTGGGAGAAGCGCTGTGAAAGGAACCAGCAAGACGCTCTGCTCGAGAATAATGGGGGCCTAGTTAGGAGTTTGGGGAAAGGCCTTCTTGAGGAGTGCCCATTTCAGTTTGAGTCATGGAGGATGGGAAGGAGTCAAGAGGAGAAGAGCATGAACAAAGGCCTTGGTAAAGGAGTGCTTGCTTCTTCGAGGTATGAAAGGAGGGCGTGTGGTAGGATCATGGTGGGCGGCAGGGCTGAGGCTGGTGGGTAGTGAGTGGGAATGCTCAGGGCCATAGAGGCTGTGACCAGGTGATGCATTTTATTACAAGGACAAAGCAGAGTGCTGAAGAGTTATAAGCAGGGACTTGATGCATTTGTGATTTATGTTTAAAATGATAGGTTAGATGCAGAATCTATCAGAAAAAGCAAGGGGTGAGAGGTAGGAAGGAGCTTCTGGGAATCTGTGGGGATTATGAGGGAGATTTTTTCTAATGACTGGCAGCTTCTTCATTTTGCTTCTAATTGAGATGCCATGTAAACCACTTGAGAACTTTCTAGAATATCTCCTTCTGTGTCCCAGTTGAAAGGTGAGTCCCTTCAGCAGCAGTGTCCCTCCCTGTCCCTTGCTCCTGGCCTGATGGGAAGGAAGGACACACTCCCTCACTCTGTGGTTGTTGCTCACGTTTTGAGGACAGTTGTGAAGACCGCTTACTTTTTCCCACTCTGGTTGCCTCCACGGGATTTTTTTTCCCCTCATTTCTAACAACCAAATTAGTCTATTCCTAGTAACAGCTTTTGAGGTCTTATGTCTCTCTCCTGGAATTTTATTATCCCTGAAAGGATAGACAGAAGGATGTTGTTGGTGCCAGCAGAAGGCCCTACTTCCTACTGATGCCCGGAGATTGCCTGGACTTCACATACCCAGACACTTGATATATTTAAGTTTTCGTTGAATTTCCTTAGAAAATTGTAGCTGTATTTTGCAAAAGGGAAACTACCCTCTAGATAAAATACATTTATGAAAGAAAACTGGTTGATTTCTTTGGTCGTG